CTGACATCAGCAGGGGGTCCCCGCGTGGCTTGTGAGTCACCATGGCGGTGCCCTTACCATCACCACTAACACCATCCACTGATGCCTGGGTCTATCCAAGCCAAGTGTAAACCACATTCTCACTATCACTACCTAAAAAGGGGTAGAGGCACGGGATATACTCCGGGATGTACTCCGCCCCTGGGCACAGCATGGGTACACTCCCGAGGGGATCAGCAGCGAAATACCGACGCTTCACTGGGGAATATGGGTTCCTCACATCCTACTCGAAGATCGTCGAGCGCAAAAATCACAATCCAACCCCTATCATATCATTACTGAATCAAGCCTGGCCCGCGAAAATATTATTTTTCTTGCTTTAGGAAAAACTGCCGGAGTCACGAGGGCCCCCACCCAAGGAGAAGGTTGAGGAAACGACAGGGGTTTTTTGCACTTTATCATATCCTGGTCTTCTTTTTGGGCCCCTAACGACAAAAAACCCTAAATTCGTCTTCATTTCCACTTCCATCACGTCAAAATATCAATAGGAAGGGAGAGTCCCATTTTCCGGGGGGGAACTGACTTGCACAGGGATGGGAACAAAGGGGAATGGCTGGGGGTTCCCACAAGATGTGGGCGCTAGATTTTTTGTTTATGGGGCCCCACCCCCATGCAGACCTGTTCTCTCACATGTGGGCCCATGATCGTTTTCGCCTAATTTGACGGGGCTAGAATTTTTGGGGTAAACTACGGTTTTGGGCACTCAAATGAACCGTAGACACGGGACGGACCCTGAAAGGGGTTAAAATGAGGGAGAATATGTCTGGGGGCTTCCTGCCTGGGTGATGCTGTAATTTTGTTGCAGTTTTCTTTTTTCAGCTAAGTGCCAAAATGAAAAAAAACTGTTTTTTTTTCCATTTTGGTCTTTTGAAACACTGCCTTTATCATCTTTAAATTTCCCCCTTTTTAAAGCTGTCTTCATTTTATGTTTTTAATTTTAACGCCAAAGTCATACTTGCAAAGTTTATTTTTTAAAAGGACATGATTAAAATTTCAAATGCTGATGTAGATTAAAAGCTTGTGCTCTTTTCTCGAAGTAATTTTTTTCAATATTTTAGCTTGAAAAATTTTCATGCTCTGTAATGTTTTTCCATTCATTTACCGCTTAACAAGTTCCCTATTTTTACTTTCAGAGCGAACTGGCATTCTTATTTCTGGCTCTTGGGCCTATTATATGACTCTTTAAAGATAATTTAATTTGCCCTTTACTATTTTTTCTGATTCATTCCCCCTTTTTTAAAAAACCTGAAGCTGAACTAGTACATGGACCCCGGCATACGATGGGATCGTATACATTAAAACCCGGTAACGATAATTTTAACGCAAAAAAATTTTTCCTCACCACTCGTTAAAAAACCCGCCACACCGATTCATCCAGGACGCGCCACATTCGCCTGAAATGCCCCTCTTTCCAGTTTTACAAGCCAGCCAGTGTGCTTCATCTAAGCAACATTCGGTACATTCCATATTATCACACTGTTTTTGGTGCTTGTTTCTGCAAAATAAGTCACCATGGACCCCAAGAAAGCTTCTAGTGCCAACCCTTCGAGAAAAAGGGTGCTAATGACTATTGAAATGAAGATACAGTGGACCCCCGCCTAATGGTCAGCTCCCAACTCGACCAATTATGTAAGTGTATTTTTGTAACTGCTTTTGTAGGTGTATTTTTGGGGTTCTGAAACGGACTAATCTAATTCACAATATTCCTTATGGGAACAAATTCGGTCTATAACGGCACCCGAACAGACTTCTGGATTGAAATAATATCGTTAGGCGGGGGTCCACTGTAATTGCAATGAAAGTGGAGTGCGTTTGTCGGAGCTGGCCAGGTTGTATACAAAACCCCAATCAACCATCGCTACTATAGTGGCCAGGAAGCTGTTCTTGCAAAAGGTGCATGTCTGTTTTCGAAACAGAGATTGCAAGTGTTAGAAGATGTTGAGAGACTGTTATTGGTGTGGATAAATGAAAAACAGATAGCAGGAGATAGCATCTCTCAAGCAATTATATGTGAAAAGGCTAGGAAGTTGCATGAGGATTTAATTGAAAAAATGCCTGCAACTAGAGGTAATGTGAGTGAATTTAAGGCCAGCAAAGGTTGGTTTGAAAGATTTAAGAATCGTAGTGGCATATATAGTGTTATTAGGCATCACGCTATGGACTTGCTACCCCAAGTCCTAATGGAAGGGGATTCCCCTTCTAAACATTAACAACTTCGACACTCTCCCCTCCTCCCATCCCATCAATCATCACCAGATCTTCATTAAAGGTAAGTGTCATGTATTCTATTGTTAGTAGAGTACTACTAACTGTGCATGTCTTCTTCAGTTTGTGTGCATTAAACTTAATATTTCATGTGGTAAAACTTTTTTTTTCATAGTACTTTTGGGTGTCTTGCACGGATTAATTTGATTTCCATTATTTCTTATGGGGAAAATTAATTCGCCATCTGATAATTTTGGCATACGATGAGCTCTCAGGAATGGATTAATATCGTATACTGGGGGTACACTGTAATTCTTAAGATCTCAATGGCTTATCTATGTCTTTTGCTTGTACATGTCTTTGTACATGACTACGTACCCACATCTGCAGCACTCAATCTCCCTCTAAAATTTTCTGTGATTTAATTATGATAATCGCTCTAAAATTTTCAGCATTGTAATTGCCTCCCCTAGTTGTCCTCTCTGCTGAAGTAGTCAAGTTCAGCTCCTTCAAGATCTTGTATTACACTGATCCTAATCTGCGACTAGTCTGGTGTGCAAACCTTTGGACAATAAACAAATAACCCGCACATAGGTAAAAGAACTAATGACAATGTTTCAGTCTGACACGAACCATTTACAAGTCACATGCTTAATCAGATGAGAGCTCTATACTGAGGTTACATACTCAATGATGGCCCTAATATATGTAGTGAATAAAATTATGAATGTTTCTTAGCTGAAGTTAATGAATGCAGTTCTGATGTTTGCTAGCCTTGCATATGCCCCTCAAGTTAGTTGTTGTGTACTTCTGTTGATATGCTTGATGTGAAGTTCACCAGTGGATCATTATTTTTTTATTCATATTTACAGTTCATCCAGGTAGTAGGCTGGTAGACAGTAACTGCCCAGGGAAATAATGCCATCCTGCCAAGTGAGTGCAAAACTTTGACTGTTTTACATAATGGAAGGATTGCTGGTGTCTTTTTTGTCTTAAACATGCAAGATATCAGGTATGTCTTGCTACTTCTACTTACACTTAGGACACACTACACTTGCATGTACAAGCACATACGTACACACCCCTCTGTCTTTTCTTCTATTTTCTTACTAGTTCTTGTTCTTGTCTGTTTCCTCTTATCTCCATGGGACAATGGAACAGAATTCTTCCTCTGTAAGCCACGCATGTTGTAAGAGGCAACTAACATGCTTGGAGCAAGGGTTAGTAACCCCTTCTCTATATACTAAAGTTAGAGAAACTTTTGTTTTTCTTTTTGGGTCACCCTGCTTTGGTGGGATATGGCCGGTTTGTTGAATGACGACGATTTACAGTTCACTTAGGCTGTACTGTTTCTGCATCTTCCTCTCCTCCAATCCACTTGACTTTGTGCTTGTTTGGACTGAACTCCAGCAGCCACTTACTGAACCACATCTAGCCTGTCTAGGTCTTCCTAGAGCCTATTTCTGTCCTCTCTTGTCTTTATCCATCTCATTAACTTTACATCAACAAATATACACATAGTACTGATCCTGATGTCTCATCCATTACAGTTACTTTCTTGTGTCTTTCAGCTGCTTTCTTAACCACTGGAGCACTACACCCATTTCTGTCTCATTTTTTATTTTCTAGAATACCAAGTAATCCCTAGTGGGGTACTGTGTCAAATACTTTTCATCCATCTCTGTCTTTCTTATTTAGTCACTATTTTAGAACTGTGAGAGTTCAGACTGTTTAAGATTTTCTTCCTATTTTAGTTTAATACTGAATGTATTTTTTTGACCATCCCCCACCCATGAAGGTCCAAGTTTTCCTATTCAGTCTGTCCAGGATTAAAAACCCTGTCAGTAATTAGTTAGATTTATTCTTGCTGACTCCAACACATTATCCATTTTGACAGTCTTCAAACTCCATCCTCTGCCTCCTGCTATTCAGTAGATTTTTTTTATATCATTGCTATCGCCATCTTGGGTCCTCCAGTCATTAATATTCCTGCTATGACATCTTTGAATTCCTAATATTTATATTTTTCAGTTCTTTGCTCAAAGAGCTCTACTTCAGTGCTACTACTCCTTCCTCATTCTTCCTTTCTTTTCTCACTATATGGAAATCTTCTGGTAAGATTACCCCTATTTATTAGAGCCTGAAGTTTTATCTCTCCGAGGGACACAATATTCGATTGTTCCTTTGATAATCTTTTAGCTCACTGTATTTCTTAGTTGCACCCTTTACACTAACACAGCTCCTATTTTATTTTAGTCTCTCTCTCTCTCTCAATCTTTCTGCCTTTCTGTTCAATTTTGGGAGTTATTGGGAGTGGGTTATTCAGTGAAGGAGTTCATCTGTAGACAGGGAGTGAGGGAAGGGAGGGGAGTGAGGGAAGGGAGGGGAGTGAGGGAAGGGAGGGGAGTGAGGGAAGGGAGGGAAGGGAATACAACGGAAAGGGTTGTGATAGAATTAGTGAAAGTTTCATTTGTATAGGTATATATTGTGAGGCAGCATCCATGAATATGCAATGCACATGGTATGAGGGCAAATGAGGTGTAATGTGGTTGGATTAATTGGATGTTTGATAGGCATAAATGTGTGCATGCATTGGCATGCACTCTCTGTAAACATGTATGTGCATAAATGGTGTATGGTTGTACATAAGCATAAGTATTATGACTAAAAAACTAATTACATACTGTACATATGAACAGCTTTAGATTAATCAGTGTTTGTATAAAGAAATTAATTAATTTTAGTATATTATCTACAATACTTTGTTCAATTTATTCTTGGCCATAACACGTAACAGACCCTTGATTATTACCTGATCTGCGGTCTCCTCCAATGACAGACTTGGGTCGTGGTTTAGGTGCGAGAGGGGGAAGGGGCTTAGGTTTGAGGGCGGTGATCACAGGCTTGGTGTTCGGGCTCAGTCCTGGGAAGAACCCCACGCATACGCAAACAATCAAATGACGGACAGGTCTACTCATTACAATTTGCAAGACCAGAGCACCTTTCAGGATCATTTTTTTTTTTAAACAGTAATAGATGAAAGGATTGTTTATTTAATACAATGCCCAGATCTAAGTCAGAAGTGAAAAGAGTTATTTTTCCAAAACATTAATGACATACTGCATTTCTTCACATGTATTTTGCAAAAATTTTAAGTCATAAGAATTGCAAATGCAAGAGATTTAAAAAAAAAAATTCTACTTAATTTCCAATATATCAACCTCCTCCTCAATGTTTTTTTTCTATTACCTTTCTCTCTCTCTCTCTACATGTATAACATTCTTAACACACTTTTTATCTGCTGCCAAAACCTAAACACATGTTCACACCCGTTTAGTTGTGACAGTTAAGCTCCTCTCCGTACATATTCAGCATCAATGAGCCAGATATATCAATACCTCTTTTGAAGATTTAAATCGAATATTTTCTTCAAAATATTATAATTGTTGTGTTGGTGGAGAGGTACACCATCATGAATGGAACTTTGTTTCCTGCATAAAGGAAATCTTCCATATTCAACTTACTTTTCAACAAGCATATTTCAACCGAAATTTTATACACTTATTTCCTCATACATTTTCAAGTCTGACAATCACACTTTTTAACCTAACAACTGGCTCCCATCAAGACAGGGTGACCCAAAGAAGAAACACATTCACCATCATTCAATTGTTGTTCTTCCAGAAGTGTACTAGCCTCACAATCAGATTATCCTGCGATTGAAACATCCCCTCCCCTCCATCATAGTAAATGAAGTATCAGGTACAGCTAACCAGTTTCCTTGAATCCCTTCATTAAGGTTACCTTACACTCCAACAACCTGTCCATTAAAAAAAGCACTTCGTCTCCATCTACTGCTATCTAATGCATTTACACAAGCCTGCTGGATGCTCAAGCCTCTATAACTCAAAGCGTCTTTCACCCCTTCCCTCCATCTGTTCCTGGAACAATCCCTACCCCTCCTACCTTCCACCCCAGATTTTTAAACCCTCTATGTCAACCTAACCCTTTCCATCCTTAATAAATGTCCACACCACTTCAACAATCCTCCTCAGCCCTCACCTCACATTTCCATTTAATTTCTATGCTCTGAATTCTCTGCATGATATTTACATCACACACTGCTCTAAAAAAATGAAATATCCACAGAAGTATACTGAATTATGATAGTCTCTGCAATGCTTTCTTGCAAGTGCCTTACTTTCTTGCATAATCTGTCACCAGTCAACTTTCATATACTATCACAGTCTTCTAAACCTTTTAATTATTCTTTAATAGCCATATATTTTGGAGTGAGATAAATAGGCTAAGAAAGCCTAGGATATGAATGGATTTGACAGTTAAAAACAAAATAGGGGGGATAGTAGAAGAGATGGGGAGTTGGAGGAATTGGGAAGACTGCAGGAATATTTTAAGGAACTGTTAAATGTTGATGAAAAGAGGGAGGCAGTAATTTCATGCATTGGCCAAGGAGGTATAACATTTTTAAGGAGTGAAGAAGAGCTGGATGTGAGTGTTGAGGAGGTCCATGAAGCATTAGGTAGAATGAAAGGGAGTAAAGCAGCTGGAACTTATGGGGTCATGACAGAAATGTTAAAAGAAGGGGAGGGGGAAATATAGTTCTTGAGTGGTTAGTACCTTTGTTCAATAAATGTATGAAAGAGGGGAAGGTACCTAGGGATTGGCAGTGTATAATTCCTTCTTGGGGAAATAGAACAGAATTCTTCCTCCGTAAACCATGCATGTCGTAAGAGGCGACTAAAATGCCAGAAGCAAGGGTCTAGTAACCCCTTCTCCAGAATAATTTTTTTTTTTTTTCAACAAGTCAGCCGTCTCCCACTGAGGCAGGGTGACCCAAAAAGAAAGAAAATCCCCAAAAAGAAAATACTTTCATCATCATTCAACACTTTCACCTCACTCACACAATCACTGTTTTTGCAGAGGTGCTCAGAACACAACAGTTTAGAAGCATATACGTATAAAGATACACAACATATCCCTCCAAACTGCTAATATCCCAAAACCCCTCCTTTAGAGTGCAGGCATTGTACTTCCCATTTCCGGGACTCAAGTCCGGCTATATAAAAATAACCGGTGTCCCTGAATCCCTTCACTAAATATTACCCTGCTCACACTCCAACAGATCGTCAAGTCCCAAATACCATTCGTCTCCATTCACTCCTATCGAACACGCTTATGCACGCCTGCTGGAAGTCCAAGCCCCTTGCCCACAAAACCTCCCTTACCCCTTCCTTCCAACCTTTTCAAGGACGACCCCTACCCCGCCTTGGAATGATGAAGTAAAGGGTGTGATAAAAGAGAAAAAGTTAGCTTATGAGAGGTTTTTACAAAGTAGAAGTGTTATAAGAAGAGCAGAGTATATGGAGAGTAAAAGAAAGGTGAAGAGAGTGCAAAAGGAGAGCAGATGATAGAGTGGGAGAGGCACTGTCAAGAAATTTTAATGAAAATAAGAAAAAGTTTTGGAGTGAGTTAAACAAGTTAAGAAAGCCTAGGGAACGTATGGATGTGTCAGTTAAAAGCAGAGTAGGGGAGTTAGTAGATGGGGAGGGGTGGGTATTAGGTAGATGGCGAGAATATTTTGAGGAACTTTTAAATGTTGAGGAAGAAAGGGAGGCGGTAATTTCACGCACTGGCCAGGGAGGTATACCATCTTTTAGGAGTGAAGAAGAGCAGAATATAAGTGTGGGGGAGGTACGTGAGGCATTACGAAGAATGAAAGGGGGTAAAGCAGCTGGAACTGATGGGATCATGACAGAAATGTTAAAAGCAGGGGGGGATATAGTGTTGGAGTGGTTGGTACTTTTGTTTAATAAATGTATGAAAGAGGGGAAGGTACCTAGGGATTGGCAGAGAGCATGTACAGTCCCTTTATATAAAGGGAAAGGGAACAAAAGAGATTGTAAAAATTATAGAGGAATAAGTTTACTGAGTATACCAGGAAAAGTGTACAGTAGGGTTATTATTGAAAGAATTAGAGGTAAGACAGAATGTAGGATTGTGGATGAGCAAGGAGGTTTCAGAGTGGGTAGGGGATGTGTAGATCAAGTGTTTACATTGAAGCATGTATGTGAACAGTATTTAGATAAAGGTAGGGAAGTTTTTATTGCATTTATGGATTTAGAAAAGGCATATGATAGAGTGGATAAGGGAGCAATGTGGCAGATGTTGCAAGTATATGGAATAGGTGGTAAGATACTAAATGCTGTAAAGAGTTTTTATGAGGATAGTGAGGCTCAGGTTAGGGTGTGTAGAAGAGAGGGAGACTACTTCCCGGTAAAAGTAGGTCTTAGACAAGGATGTGTAATGTCACCATGGTTGTTTAATATATTTATAGATGGGGTTGTAAAAGAAGTAAATACTAGGGTGTTCGGGAGAGGGGTGGGATTAAATTATGGGGAATCAAATAAAAAATGGGAACTGACACAGGATTTATGAAGGATGAGGTTAATCATAGAACTGATGAAGGAAAAAAGGCGAGTCGTGCGTTGAGGTATATGTGGAGTCAAAAAACATTATCTATGGAGGCAAAGAAGGGAATGTATGAAAGTATAGTAGTACCAACACTGTTATATGGGTGTGAAGCTTGGGTTGTGAATGCAGCAGCAAGGAGGCGGTTGGAGACAGTGGAGATGTCCTGTCTAAGGGCAATGTGTGGTGTAAATATTATGCTGAAAATTTGGAGTGTGGAAATTAGGAGAAGGTGTGAGTTAATAAAAGGATTAGTCAGAGGGATGAAGAGGGGTTGTTGAGGTGGTTTGGTCATTTAGAGAGAATGGATCAAAGTAAAATGACATGGAGAATAAATTACTAAATTTAAAAAGAGAAACTTTCATTTTCTTTTTAGGTCACCCTGCCTTGGTGGGATATGGCTGGTTAAAAAAAAAATTTACCGAGTATACCAGGTAAAGTGTATGGTAGGGTTATTATTAAAAGAATTAGAGGTAAGACAGAGAGCAAGATTGCAGATGAACAAAGAGGCACTAGGATGAGTAGAGGATATGTAAATCAAGTGTTGACATTGAAGCATATATGTGAACAATATTCATATGAAGGAAGGTATATTTTCATGGCATTTAAGTATTTAGAAAAGGCATATGATAGGGTGGATAGGGAAGCAATGTGGCAAATGTTACAAGTGTATGGAATAGGTAAAGAGTTTTTACGAGGAAAGCGAGGCTCGGGTTATGGCATGTCAGATAGGAGGAGATTACTTTCCAGTAAAGTAGGCTTTAGACAGGGATGTGTAATGTCACCATGGTTGTTTAACATATCTATAGATGGAGTTGTAAAAGAAGTAAATGTTAGTGTTGGGGAGAGGGGTGGGATTAAATTATGGAGAATCAAATACAAAATGGGAGCTGATAGTTAGTTTCTGCTGATGATACTGTGCTTTTGGGAGATTCTAAAGAAAAGTTGCAAAGGTTAGTGGACAAGTTTGGGAGGCTGTGTAAAGTCAAAAATGAACATAGATAACTGGACATCACATTGGAGGGAGGGAGTATTGAAGAAGTGAATGTGTTCAGATATTTGGGAGTAGATTTGTTAGCAGATGGGTTTATGAAGGATGAGGTTAACTGTAGAATTGATGAAGAAAAAAAAGGCAAGTGGTGCACTGAGGTACCTGAGGAGACAAAAAAGATGTTATCCATGGAGGGAATGTACAAGAGTAACGCTTTTATATGGGTGTGAAGCATGGGTTGTAAATGCTTCAGTGAGGAGGAGACTGGAGGCAATGGAGATGTCGTGTTTAAGGGCAATATGTGGTATAAATATTATGCAGAGAATTCATAGAGTGGAAATTAGGAGGTGGTGTTAAGTTACAAAAATTATTAGAGGGCTGAAGTGGGGTTATTGAGGTGGTTTGGTCATTTAGAGAGGATGGAGCAAAATAGAATAATTTGA